ATACAACAACAAAACAATGACAATGTTACATGACTACATCACAGCATGCTTACCCAAGACATTGTCAGAAATCTCTTCTGACTTTTCCCTTCCTGATAAAAATGTATCTGGAAGCTTTTAAAAAGTGCTAGTTTACTGCCCTTTCAAGGTGCCCCAAACCTATTTTCAACATACAGTGGGCCCTTGATATCTGCTGGGGTTTCATTCAAGGACTCTGTGGATACCAAAATTTATGGATGCTAAAGTCTCATTAAATATAATGGTGTAATAAAATGGTATCCCTTATATAAAATGGCAACATGAAGGCTTGCATTTTGGAATTTATATGTATATTTGGAATATTTTCAAGACATGGATGGTTGAATCCATGGATAAAAAAAATCAGGATTCTCACTGTACAACTACCCCAATGTGACATGTTAAAAGACTGGACTTCTTAGTAGCAGAGTGGCTTTGAGCTAGCTGGCTATAGTTTTATTAATGGTTCCTCAGGCATGTTATATTACATTATATTATATTATTTATATCCCGCCCTTCTCAGGGACTCAGGGTGGCTTATAACATTTAAAAACACACACACAATACAATTAAAAACATACAAAAATAATACATAAAAACAGAATTAAACTACTACAATAAAATAAAAAAGAAGATAAAATGTTTAAAATTCATTTAAAATAATATAGTATCCCAGGCCATTCATTAAAAGTTTTCTGTTTTGAATGCCTGTCTGAAAAGAAAGGTTTTTGTCTGTCGGTGGAAGGCCATCAAGGAAGGGGCCATTCTGGTCTTCCTGGGCAGGGAGTTCTAGAGCCTAGGGGCAACTATGGAACAGGCTCTCTCTCATGTCCTCAGTAATTGTGCTTGTGATGCTGATGGGATAGAAAGAACGGCCTCACCTGAGGATCTCACAGCCTTGGCTGGCTCATAGAGGGAAATATAATCTGCCAAATAGCCTAGACCTGAGCCATATAAGGCTTTAAAGGTTATCACCAGAATTTTGAATTGTGCCCGGAAACAGGGGTGTTGTATGATCATTGTAACCTGCCCCTGTTAAAAAACTGGCTGCAGCTCTTTGGACCAGCTGAAGTTTCCAAACACTTTTCAAAGGCAAACCCAAGTAGAGCGTGTTATAGTAATCCAAACGGGATGTAACCAAAGCATGTACAACTCAGGCCAGATCTGGCATCTCAAGGAATGGACACAGTTGGCACACAAGTTTTAAATTTGCAAAAGCACTCCTGGTCATTGCAGAGACCTGGGCCTCCAGGTTCAAAGCTGAATCCAGGAGTATCCCCAAACTGTGAACCTGCATCTTCAGGGGAAGTGTGATCCCATCTAACACAGGCTAGATCCCTATTCCCTGATCTGCTTTACGACTAACCAAGAGCACCTCTGTCTTATCTGGATTATGTTTCAACTTGTTTGCCCTCATCCAGTCCATTTCTGATGATAGGCACTGGTTTAGGAACATGTCAGCCTCCTTGGATTGGGGTAGAAAGGAGTAGTAGAGTTGAGTGTCATCAGCATATCCCAAAACTCCGGACAACCTCTCCCACTGGCTTCATGTACAGTTGTCCCTCCCCATTTGTGGACTTGGAGTCCATGGTCTCGCTCTTCACAGGGAGGGACAAGGGCTATATTCTAAATGGGTGTGCATGCCTGCGCACAGCCCCACGTGCATACCATGGGTGTGCATGCCATTACTTTAAATGGGGCTTAAATATTTGTGAGCTGTCATCTTCACGGGGAGGGGCAGAACGGATCCTCCATGAATTGGGAGGGGCAACTCAGGGGGCTGAGCTGGAGTCCCCTAGCACCACCTTCTGGGTTCACTCCTCCAGGAAGGAATGGAGCCACTGTAAAATGGTACCTCCAAGTCCCATCCCAGAGAGATGGTCCAGAAAGTATTGAAAGCCACTGAGAGATCCAGCAGAATCAACAGGGACACTCTTATACAGAATCTTCCCACCCTAAAATCTGTCACAAAACTGTTTCACTGTATTAATTGCTTTTGTACACAGGCATAATGTTTATCTATTCTCTTTATATCAAAGTGTTCTAGAGCAAACATGAGTCATCAGCTACCTCTCATTATTTACTGATCCCACTTTTTAGCTGGAAGATATGGTGATATCCATTTAATTATCATCAGCTATCTGTATTTTTTGTACATATCTCCCTTTCTGCACAGCATAAGTGAAAGAAGTTGGGCATGATGTTGGTGAAGTAGGTATTTGAAAATTTCCCAGGTTTTTTTTTTTTAAATACATGTAGAAAACATTAATGCATCTGAAATGTTCATGTTACTTCAACTTGCAGGGAGTTTTCCACATGTTTGAAAAATATATGAACTTCTATTTGCATTGTATGCTGTAAACTTTTTCAAAATGTTTTCAATTTATGTGGAAATTTTGGATTTCATTCTGAAAATGAAATTCAGCATTAGAAAATCATTCAGAAATCTTAATTCAAGTGGTTTCACTGAAGTAAAAGTGTGTGATGCAGCTAACATCAGGGCAAAAAAATGGGAGTGCAGTCCACATCATATCATCTGTAATTGATTGTATTCAATATCCTTTTCATTTCCACATAACAATTGACTGAAGAGTACAAACGTTTGCTTGGGACACAAGTCTCCCACCATCCCTCTTCTATGATTGGTGAATTTATACTTTCTCACTCTGGCATCAAATGCCTTTGTTGCCTTGGTAATCTGAACTACTAATTTCCTTCAGCAGAAGCTAAATGTAGCTACTTACCAATTCTGAACCATGGATCTTCCTAATTTGTCTGGGAAAAAATGCATATTAGATAATATATTACTGGCTCCTATCTATCTATCTATCTATCTATCTATCTATCTATCTATCTATCTATCTATCTATCATCTATCTATCTATGCATTTATTGTGTGTGCGTATGTGTATTAAGGAATGCTGACAGTCTGTAAATTTTATTTTGTACTGTTGTATTTTGTTAAATTATATGTCTTTCAATTTTTTTAAACAGTGGTATATATGCTCCTTCCTATTTCACCCTCGTATGAAGTAGATTAGGCCAAGGCTGCATCTGCACTGCAGAAATAATCCTGTTTGATGCCACTGTCATGTCTCTTTTATGTATGGAATATTGGCATTTGTAGTTTGTTGTGGCACCAGGCTAAATATCTCACAAAACTGCAAATCCCAGAATTCCATAGCACTGAGCCATGGCAGTTAAAGTGGTATCAAACTGTATTATTTCTGCACTACTAAGACAGCCTTATAGAGAGTGACTACTCAAGATCAACCTGTTAGCTTCCTGGTTGACACCAGAGTTGACTGTTCTATACAAGCCCAACAAACTGCTACAAGACTCTTGGTACATACTATAATAATAAAAGAGCCATTTTTGGATCATATCAGAGCATTTTCTTCCCACAGTTCTTCCTGCTTGGGAAACCCAAAGAAAGACATGAGTAAAATAGTGCATGTTCCTCAAAAACTGGTATTAAGAAGTACTGCTTTTTTATACTGGAGAGAATACTGAGCAATCATAACTTCTATTCAAGAACACCCTTTCCTTCCACAAAGAGTATATATTAGCATTTAACATATTAACACTTGTAATTGATTGGAAGGAAATGTTTGTTACCTCCTTTGGCTGTGGAGTAACATACTGACAAACTGTGGCAATTCCTTACAGATGATGGCCCTTATCAGGCCTGCTATTCATTTTATTTATTTAGTTATTATGATGATTTTCATAGTTTAAAAAATATATATAAAACACTTAAAATACATACACAAAATACAACATATTTAAAAACAGCCAATGAGTAAATACAATCCAAACTAATGCTTTCAATGTAATTACTGTGAGCTTAAGGTTAATAGCTTCTTTTAATGGGATGTGGAGCTCTGTTTTCAACCTTCCATCCTCCAGATGTTTTTGACTTCCAATTCTCCAAAGCCTCAGCCAGCATGGAAAGTTAACAGAGATTCTGAGAGCTGAAATCCAAACCATCTGGAGCACCAAAGATTTAGAAGCACTGATGCAGAAGTAACTTTCACGGTGTCCATTGGATTGGATTGTCATATCAGTGCACATAGGAACCTTCACTCAGTTATGGTCATGGGACTTTAGATTCTAAAGGAAGATAATAAAATTTACTAGTAAATCCATGAGATATGTCCTAATTTCAACTGTTTCATTAGAGACCTCTAGAGTTACTGGATATATCAGGCTCAAAAATAGCTCGCTTCTGATATCCACTTCTAAATACACCTATGTGGCCATATATTCCTTTGAGAAAACAGGAACACTATAATTATTGCTCTAGGATAAGAGGAAGTTGCTTTTTGGTTTCTATCTCAGCTTAATCACCTTTCAGGCCCTCTACCTCTTTGCTGTCTTTTCCTTTTGATTATCTCTCTTCTAGTACCCTCTTCTCTATATACACTGATGGACCTTGTTTACTATCCCCCTTTTTTGACTGAGTTTTTGCACTTCTGTAGATGCAGTTCTTCTTATAACATTCTTCTATTTTAACACTGCAGATACTTCTGGATTCAGGAATAAGTTGAGAAATTAAAGAAAAGGACTGAGACTTTATTTCCCCCAGCAGGCATCCTCTTTCCCGTCCCCACCATCAGCATGATCATCACCTGGAACTGCCTATCTATCCCTTACTACCCCTGTAGCATGTTGATCTCTTTCTTACAATGGCTTTGCAATTAATGTCTGCAAATCTTTTCTGGACTCTCATAACCTTCCTGCCATCCAAACCACTTTCAGAAACTACTACTGCCACTAATTCATCTTTCACTATCTTGTCTTTGTTCCTCTTTGATCAAACACTACCTTCTCCCTTCATTTTCAATACTACAATATGACTACTTAGGGAAGTCAATTTCACTGAAATCAATGGCACTGACTTCAGCCTAAATGGGCAGGAGCTTGGCTTGCACTGAAACCTGTTGAGTTCTTCTCAAGGAACATCATTTCTGTGTAACACAGCCAATGTGGTGTAGTGGTTTGGCTGTCGGACTAAAACTCCAGAGACCAGGGATTGATTCCTTGCTTAGCCATCAAACCCACTGAGTGGCCTTGGGCAAATCACATGCTCTCAGCCTCAGGGAAAGGCAATGACAAACCTCCTCTGAAGAAATCTTGCTGAGGTAGGTTCACCTTGGGGTTGCCTTAAGTTGGAAAGGACTTGAAGGCACACAACAAGAACCATGTAGCATGCATAAAACCCATGCTGAAGAATAATGGGAATAATGGGAGGTTCTGTCCAGAAAGATATTCTTTTCTTGGAAAAGCATCTGCCCTGAATGACACCATTTATTCTTCTTTGCCACCCATCACATACTAAACACACAACAGCTATGAGAAGAAACCAGTTTCTTTGAAGTCCCACTTGTTGAAGCAGACTTTCTCTACTGAGAAAGCACTAGAAACAGAAGACAAATTATTGATACCTATCCCCTCCAGCCAGTGTGGCATACTGTTAATGAAGGGCAAAAACAAATGTTCAAGTTCTCAAAAAGATCCACATATAGAAGCTACCATGTCACAAATTTTAAAGCTTGGATTTTTGTCAATTTAATTGGGGCAAAGCAGTTGGAGAACCTGCATTCCATACATGCAGACAAGAGACAGATATTCCCAGGATTGAGCTGGATGGAGATTCTTCAACTTTAACTTGTCTAACTCAAAATCATTAAGGAGCTCAAGATATTTTGATGATTCACCTTTCAAAGTGCATTCTTTTCAGCAATATGGTCTGAGTACCCATGGTTAGTGGTTTGAGTGGTGGACTATGACTCTGGGGACCAGTGGCATCACAAGGGGGGTGCGGGGGATATGGATCGCACCAGGTGACACCCTAAGGAGGGTGTGTGTGACACCACTGCTCCTCAAACATCTATTTTTTTTGGGGCATAAATGAACTGTGGCATTCACCTGCTTCCTTTTAAAATGCTTTAAGAGATGGTGAGAGTGGAGTAAAGCTCATTGGGAGGAGAAAGGAGAGCCCCCCCAATTTAAATTTTCAAATTTCAATTTTTTTAATTAAATATTTTAATTTTAAAAAAATCTTTTAAATTTTTCTTTAAAAACGTCGCATTTTAACCAAATCTTCACTATGTATATGTAAATACATTTAGGTTGTGCATATGATATTGTAATTTGAAGGAATAATGTTAATTTTGCTAGTTGTTTATGTCACAACTACTAGCGTTACATTTAGTGGCATATGGGAATTACTAAGGATTCTGTGGGTGGGATGCGGTGGCTCAAGGGGTTAAGATGCTGACTCTGTTGACTGCAAGATCGGCAGATTGACAGTTTGAGGCCCAGGTGCTGCATGATGTTGTGAGCTCCTGTCCCTAGTCCCAGCTTCTGCCAACCTAGCAGTTCGAAAGCATGCAAATGCAAGTAGATAAATAGGTACCACTTCAGTGGGAAGGTAAATAGTGTTCTGTGCAATCATGCTGGCCACAGGATCACAGAGTAGTCTCTAACAACGCTGGCTCTTCGGATTAGTAACGGAGATGAGCACCACCCTCTATGGTTGGACACAACTTGACAACCTTGTCAAGGAATATCTTTACCATTTACCTTTAAGCATTCTGTAAGGTGTGAAATGGGTCAATG